ATCTGGTACAGAAACTGATTTGCTATCGAATGATTGATATTCGGACCGAGACATGGGTAACTTAACCTTTGATATTCGAACCGGCGTTTGCTTTTTCTTTCTTTTCGTTTTTGTGTCTTCAAATTTGATAAAATGGTAAATAACTGGCTACTCATTTGTAACTATGCCCGTCTGCCAAGGTGGCTAAAATATCATTGTTGCAGACGCCTGCTCAGGTACATTTGTGTATTTTTCAATAACAACAGAGACAACATATGATTTATACTGCAACTATATTGAATTTATAGGCGCGTGGCCGAGTGTTTAGAACGTTCGCTTTCTGACCATGAGACTCAAATCTCACCATGGTCGTTTTGGAGATTTCTTGATGTTATCGAACTGGATCGAGTTCGATCCCAGGCGCGGTACCTTTGAAAAGTGCCTGAAAACCATACCACGGTTTGATCCAAGCCTTGTGTGTGAAATTTTGTAGACGGAACTCTTGAGGGCCGTCTATAGCTGTACTAGCACGAAACCACAAGTCATCGTGACCGAGGACTTGAGCGTGCTGGCTTTGTTCAAATTGTTGATAACACGCTCTCTCCCAGAAACTGTAACTAAGGTCTGCTCAGCATAGTTGAAGCATAAACCACAGGTTGGCTCTGTGGGTGTTGAGCAAACACAAATGTGCCTGTGCGAGGGATTGGCTAGCCGCCCTAGTAGACGGGAATATGCTGGGATATGAGTGGCCAGCTATTATTGTTATTATGATATTGAATCTATTTACAGGTTCTTGACGAAAGCACATCACCTGGAGTGATCAGTAGTTTTGAACAAGGCCAGTACACTGAAAACTTCGGCCATTAAGGCTTGAGATTTTTTTGCTAGTACAATCGTAAATAGCTTCCCAACATTTTAGTCTATACGTTTTCACACACAAGGCATGGGTTAATACATGGTACGGGTATCACGTTCGGATCGTCCTCCCAAGACAATATATCTCCAAGAAGTCACTATCTTGACAAATTGACAATGATGAAATTTAAACCTAGGTCTTATGTTTGAAACGTTGTGAAATTTAAACCTAGGTCATGTTTGCAGCGTTGTAAAATTTCAACCTATGTCTCATGTTTAGAACGTTGTGAAATTTAGCTAGGTCCCATGTTTGGAGCGTTGTGAAATTTAAACCTATGTCTCATGTTTGGAGCGTTGTGAAATTTAAACATATGTCTCATGTTTGGAGCGCTGTGAAATTTAAACCTATGTCTCATGTTTGGAGCGTTGTGAAATTTAAACCTTAGTCTCATGTTTGGAGCGTTGTGAAATTTAAACCTATGCCTCATGTTTGGAGCGTTGTGAAATTTAAACCTATGCCTCATGTTTGGAGCGTTGTGATATTTAAACCTATGTCTCATGTTTGGAGCGTTGTGAAATTTAAACCTATGTATCATGTTTGGAGCGTGGGAAATTTAAGTCTATGCCTCATGTTTGGAACGTTGTGAAATTTAAACCTATGCCTCATGTTTGGAGCGTTGTGAAATTTAAACCTAGGTCTCATGTTTGGAGCGTTGTGAAATTTAAGTCTATGCCTCATGTTTGGAACGTTGTGAAATTTAAACCTATGCCTCATGTTTGGAGCGCTGTGAAATTTAAACCTAGGTCTCATGTTTGGAGCGTTGTGAAATTTAAACCTATGCCTCATGTTTGGAGCGTTGTGAAATTTAAACCTATGCCTCATGTTTGGAGCGTTGTGAAATTTAAACCTATGTCTCATGTTTGGAGCGTTGTGAAATTTAAACCTATGTATCATGTTTGGAGCGTTGTGAAATTTAAACCTATGCCTCATTTTTGGAGCGTTGTGAAATTTAAACCTATGTATCATGTTTGGAGCGTTGTGAAATTTAAACCTATGTATCATGTTTGGAACGTTGTGAAATTTAAACCTATGCCTCATGTTTGGAGCGTTGTGAAATTTAAACCTATGTATCATGTTTGGGGCGTTGTGAAATTTAAACCTATGCCTCATGTTTGGAGCGTTGTGAAATTTAAACCTATGTCTCATGTTTGGAGCGTTGTGAAATTTAAACCTATGTCTCATGTTTGGAACGTTGTGAAATTTAAACCTTGGTCTCACGTTTGGAACGTTAAACTCTAAGCCACACGTCCAGTTGATATAATGTGTAATGCCCAATTAATATGAATGTTTTCCTCATCCTATTTGTTTCAGTTTATTTCTTTAACTCCATCACTGTCCTGAGATCGCGAAAAAACAACAAGAATCGGAAATAATGAATAAATTGAGAGCGAGACAAGAATTCGTATCCCTTATTTTCTAAAAAATCCGTTACGGCATATCTGCCTTTTACAGTTAGCTCACAAAGGCCAGTTAGTTGATTCTTATTTTTACAATATATTTTTACATTATATTTTACATTATATTTTTAATATATAAAAATTTTACAAAGACCAGATAGTAGATTCTTATTTTTCAGACTAGAACGATCAAGACTCTCCACAGCTTCCTGTTCTTTGTATCTCTAAGCAATTTTTGACTCTTTTGCATTCCTACTAGTCCCTGCTCTGTATTTATATAAGCACTATATTAATTGCAATTTCTGTCTACCTTTCTTGTCTTCAATATTCTCCTTATCAGTGTCAAATTCTCTAAGCCCTCCTTTCTCATTATGCATCCCGGAAATTTCAATTTTCTTCCTGATTGTTCAAGGGTCTTTTTTGTTTAGATTTTGCTTAAAATTTCCTCGTTGCTCACGTGTTATTTTGTTTCTTTTTGTTTTGTTTTTGGTCTTCTCATAATCTTTAAGATCTATAGAATAAAATCTATGTTGCTTCAAGTTTCCTTTTCACCTGTGAAGATATTGTTCAGCATTTACTGCCATATGAGAGGATTGATATTGCATAGCAATTCAGCACCCTTTTGTTTGATATTCTTCTTTCTTAGTACTTTGTTTAGCTTTTGAAAGACATCTTCCTCTATTGAGATGTGTCTCCAGATTTCAGTGTCACATTTTCTGCCGTCTGTTAAAACAATTCCTAGATATTTACCGTATTTTACGGCGTATAAGGCGCACTTTTTTTTACTAAAAAAAAAGCTTTTAAAATTCCCCCATGTCTTGTACGCGATATCTAGGTTTAAAATTCGAGATAGTCAGCCGAAATTAGCTCCCTGGCAACTCCTATTAGCTTAGACATTAGAGTAACTTTTATATACCTATTGTCATTATTTAAAAGGTTATTATGCAGATTAAAAGTGTTATCATTAATAATATTCATTATATTAATTTCATCTCGTTTAATATTAGTACCTTTTTCACTAAAATTATATGCAATAAATTCAAATTATATATTTTTAAAATATATCTGTTTCATTAATATTTTTCTTGTGATAACTTCCGCTTGCATTGGCATAAATACAATCAGAATTTTTATATCCTAATTATTTCAATAAGACGTTTACAAGACGCACGTTGTACAGATCATATAAAGGATATGATAAAGTTTTTATAGGCTCGTGTTATTTTTTCCTGTTCTTTTTCGTTTAATTGTAACCATGGCTTGTTTAACCAAAATAATACTTTATAAATATAACCTAGGCTGTACCATTTACTAATAATTTTACTAATTGCTAATTCTTTCTTGATCTGCCCTGTTAAAGTTGGGATGCGTCTTATCCAACGTGCGTCTTATATGCTGTCACCTACGGTAAATGTCTGTAATTGATTAATTTTGACATCTACAATATCTAACACACGTCTTGAGCTGTCCGCTTTTGCTGACAAACCCACATTCTGTTTTCTTATAACTGATAGTCCTTTCTTAAGGAAGTAAATGAAAACGTGAAGAAAAGACTATCATTTGTAAGAATGTAATAATATGATAATGACATACAAAAAGGAATCATCATCACATTCTTGCAACTGATCGTTAGTCCTTTCTTCACATTTTCATTTACTTCCTTCTCTAGGAGTTTCTGTAGATTTCTTTTTGTATATGTCATCATCACATTATTACCTGAGTATCGTATATTGTTAAGATTATGTCCACCTATAATAAATCCAGCTAGGACTTCTAGTTCTCTTAATGATCTCTCAATACTTGGAAGACTTCCTTCACTATTTGTCATGCCTGAACGTACCTATTCTATTAATAGACTCTCCCACACATAATAAGTAGTAGTAGTAGTAGCGGTCGCTGGTTGGGCTCAGTGGTGTTGAGCGAGTCAGTCGATGTCGGACATTGAAGTAGCAACCATCACAACTAGATTGCTGCGTCATTAACTCTTATTTCAAGTTCCTAACGTTTTGTACGTCGAACCTAATTTAGGACGACTGAGTGAAATACAAGCCTCCACTGTGAAAACTACTCTACAACACATTGGCGACGAAGAATTCGTAATTCATACGGGAAAAGAAAAAGTTTTCGTTCACTCTATAACAACACATTGGCGACCAGAATTCGAAATTCATACGAAAAAAAAAACTTTAAAGCAAGAAAAAAAAAAAATTCGTTTCGCCATATATAACACTTGGCGACGAACGTATTTTGGATTCATACGGGAAAAAAAAAAACTTTGCGTTCACTCTACAACACTATTCTAATGCACCTTTGATTCTTTGTGACACATTTTCTGTTGTCTGTTATGATACTACCGAGATAGTTAAACTTCTGTACCTGCTTGATTCTGACATCTCCAATTCATAGCTCACACCTTGGGTTGTCCCTTTTGCTGACGACCAAACATTCTGTCTTCTTACAATTAATAAACTTTTCTTCGCGCTTTCCAGTGTTCTCGTTGTTTCTTTTCTTAGTCTGCCACCAACACAGTGACATTTGCGTTTCTTCAAATGTACTAACAGTGAAAATAAAGCAGATTCAGTCATTGTCTCTATATTACTCGAACGCCTCAACTAGTAAAAAAATTATAATAAACAATACTTCATTTCATCAATTTGATTTAATATTGCGGGGTTCATAACATGTAAAAATGGTATGAAATAGAAATTATGGCAAAACTGTTCAAAGTTACTTCGAAACAAACAAATATTAAACGGAAACATCTATCTCAATCTGATTCTATCTATCTATCTATCTATCTATCTATCTCAGTCTCTTTGTATGTTATCTATCTGTCTATCCCAGTCTCTTCACAAGTATATTCATATCTATGTATGTATCTATCTCAGTCTGATCATTATCTATCTCCGTCTCTTCGTGTCTTATCTATCCATCCCAGTCTTTCATGAATCTGTTCATATCTATCTATCTATCTATCTATCTATCTATCTATCTATCTATCTATCTATCTCAGTCTGTTCATATCTATCTATCTATCTATCTATCTATCTATCTATCTCTTCGTGTCTTATCTATCCATCCTAGTCTTTTCATGAATCTGTTCATATCTATCTATCTATCTATCTATCTATCTATCTCTTCGTGTCTTATCTATCCATCCTAGTCTTTTCATGAATCTGTTCATATCTATCTATCTATCTATCTATCTATCTATCTATCTCAGTCTGATCATTATCTATCTATCTATCTATCTATCTATCTATCTATCTATCTCAGTCTGTTCATATCTATCTATCTATCTATCTATCTATCTATCTATCTATCTATCTATCTATCTCTTCGTGTCTTATCTATCCATCCTAGTCTTTTCATGAATCTGTTCATATCTATCTATCTATCTATCTATCTATCTATCTATCTATCTCAGTCTGTTCATATCTATCTATCTATCTATCTATCTATCTATCTATCTATCTCTTCGTGTCTTATCTATCCATCCTAGTCTTTTCATGAATCTGTTCATATCTATCTATCTATCTATCTATCTATCTATCTATCTATCTATCTCAGTCTGATCATTATCTATCTATCTATCTATCTATCTATCTATCTATCTATCTTCCATGTTCATTTATCTAGCAAACGATCTTGTCTTCGCTTTATCATTTTCCGTCTAATTGTATTTACTTTACCGGCTTCAAAATGACTTGCTGTTTACATAATCGCCTCGTGAGGAATAGAGGAAGGCACATGATTACATCCAGCTAGAAACTGGTCTTTTTTTTTTGTTTTATTTTCTTAATCACGAATCTTCCTCAATCAATTTCATGCAAACATGAATCTTACATTCCGTTAGATGAGATTATCCAAGAAATAAAAACCTCGCCAAAAAACATTTCAACGATAAATCTGTAATCTGAAACAGCGCAACCGAATACCAACGAATATAAACTTTACTTCTTAATCATATGAGTTGACTAAAAACAAAAAACAAATATTAAAGATTTACATCCACATCACGACTGAAAATGTCTTATTTGGTTTCCGAATTTAAGCAAAATATAACATGGCGACTATACAGACGTTTTCTTAACGGCGGTCGAAGGTGTTATTTCTATCCCGAAATAAGATTCAAAAATTTACCCCGCGTCCGATAACTTACTGTTTTTTTTTTTTATATATACGCCGATCCTAATTAATGTCAAGTTCAGCCTTTTCTTTTTATAAGTTAAAACTGGTTTGTTTTTATGGTATCTTCAAGCTTTTCAAGGTTGTTTTATGGCGAATTCTGTCGCTTTGATAAACAATAGATGGGTTCAGGGCCGACCCGAGGTTTGATGGCACCACGGGCAAGATGAACTTCGGCGCACTTACAAGTATAGTTTTTCGCAAAAAGATTTTCACAAGGAGAAAAACTGAAAATGTAGAATAATGAGTTTATTACACTATACAACTTAATACAAGCTAAAGAAAACTTTCATTATCCTACCTAAAACATTTTTTCTAGCCTTTAGATATTGCAAATCTTTTCATGGTATTTTCTACACCTATCTTCTTTACAAAATACACACAGACGATCCACACTCTAAAGAAACAGAAAGACAACTGATATGGTTTATTCCTAATACAATTATGTTGTGATGACGGGTCAAGATGACCTCTCAGCCATACGAGATAAACACTGGCTAATATGCAAAATGCAAATTAATACAATTAGATTGCATTAGTAAATATTTTATATAATTCAAAGCTTACTAAAACATTATTAATTGTGGTAAATAAACTTAACAGATATGTAAAGTTTTATAAACGAATATGATCATTATGTCCGCATCGCTCGATCAGTCATTTTTTTTCTGTTGTTTGATTACCAAATCATAACACAAAGAGTTAATAATCAAATTCTCAAAAAATTTTCACAACAAATTTTATATTTTTTTTATTTCATTTTATTTATTATTTTCGCATTTGTTCCTTTTTGTTTGGAAGATCCCAGACACATGTCATGGCGTCATAATGGCGGCCTCGGCTTTGGTGGTGCCCCAGTAATGTTTTCTATTGAAATGCTTTTGTAACGTTTTGTAATGTACCGATAGTTTGACTTGAACATTTCCTACCTAAATATACTTTCTGGTATATGTTCTGCTGAAGTGGGTGCGTAAGGAGCCTGTGCGTCTTTTATGTCATGACATATGGTATTTCTCTTATCTTAATTTCAGTTGCTTTTTATCACAACTAATCCTCATTTTATAAAAAAAAAAATCAGAAAAAAAAGGATAAGCTTTTGGTAAGAATCGAACTCGTATTTGTTTTTCTCCGAAAAGGTTACCGTTTTAGCGCTTGAACAAGGGGAGCCAATGTTTGCAAAAGCTCATTTCTCACTACATAGCTTTTCCCCAAAAATGGCGCTATCATCTTTGATATTTGCTTACATTATATATATATATATATATATATATATATAGGTGGAGCGATCAAAACGTTCGCTTTTTCGACCATGAGATCCGGGTTGGAATGATCAACTTATCAGTAAGCTGACTCCTTAATGTCATGAAAATGTCTGAAAATCTTACTAAGGGTCCACCGAATCCTTGTAAGTGAAATTCAGTAGTCGAAACGAAAGTCATCGTGACCGAGGATTTGGGCGTACAGACTCTCTTCAGACTGTTGATCACGCCATTCATTTACGTGCGAAAGGTATGAAGCCCCCTCTTATCCCCCCAGCTATAGGTAAATAGTAGGACAAACCGGGTTCTAAAGCATTGGATGGCAACCTACTGCAGGAAAGAAAATCTACCTCGTCAGTCATGTATCGAAAGATACATGATCGCCTACTAAGTGTGTATCACGTGTGGCCCATAACTGACTGATATATATATATATATATATTACGATAAACGTGCAATCAATTTACAAATTCATGAATTATTCACACAAAAACAAATGCAAAGGTTAATGATTTAATTGGCGAGAAATCCATCGTCGCAAACAATTCAAATAATATACAAAAACCTCCGAATCCGTTATGAATGAAATGATCCTTGTTTCTATAAATTTCTGCCGTATTAGTTCTTATTTTTACTACAAGCTTTCGTCTGTTCTTACAGACATCTTCAGGTATAGAATAGATGTTGTTCTTGTTTTTTCTCTTAGTAATAAGAGGACAACGAAAATATATGTATTGTTGTATCCGAAAACGCTATTGGAAATGAGTTATTGTTTTTGGAGCGAGCAGTAGCAACGCTGAGTTTGATTTTAAAATTTTAAAAGTTGTGCGTTCATATACAAATATGGTGATGAACGAATGTATATATGTATATATATATATATATTGCATTTTATATATATATATATATATATATATATATATATATATATATATATATATATATATATATATATATATATATATGTCTGAATAAATTACAAACATTATATCTGCTTATTTTATCATAATCCTTTCATACTTACGAATACATTTCCGTATATTACACATGGATAAAGCAAGACATTCAATAGTAATATACGAAAAAATATTCGAGAATATGAAAGGATTATGATAAAAATAAGTAGACATAGTATTTGTAATTTATTCAGCTAGGCATACCTAAAAGTGTATTTACTGCCTGAATAAAATATATATATATATATATATATATATATATATATATATATATACTTGAAAGCTATGCTATATTTATGAGTGAAAGTGTTCATTATCAGGACAGTGCGTATCTACATCTACATATAAAAGAGAACACAGATCGGCGACATCCAGTTTCGTGATTGAACGCAATATTGCTGGTTCTCTTTTGACTCGATTATTTATATATGTTGGTCAAGTTTTAGTTTATTACCGTAAGGTTATTGGGTAGGCGGTAACGGTTATATTTCAGCTTGTAAGGTGGATGGCGGGATGGCTATGTTCTTTAGCTACCCCTAGTGCACACTTGCCGGGCATATATAAATAGTCGAACCAACGCACAACACACTTGGCCTGAAGATTCCGTTCAAGTATCAAACAAACTCTCTGCTCGGTGTTGACATCAATGTTCACTTATATATTTATATTTACATAAAATCTATCGCTGATATTGAGAACTTTTAGCCATATATATAGTATGCCATAAAAATATATTTTATCATATTTAGCTCCTGATAAACAGTAGCGCATTTTCGCTACATTTGTATACTATAACAGACATTGAATAATGTAACCATGACTCCTTTCTAAAGAATATACTCATCCCACCACCATTTACCTACAAAGTGAAATATAACCGTTACCGCCTAACCAATAATCATCAAGATAATAAAACCGACTTTGTTACCCATAATGCACAGCTGACCAGAATATATAAAAATATAACATTTATATCCAGTTTGCGACGGATAAATTGTTGTCTAAATTACGCAAAAATGAAAATAACACTGACATCTCATTTTAACAGATATATTTAACAAAATTGCAAAAAAAAAAAAAAGATCCTGAAATACTAAAGAGTTACTTAATAAAATCGCCATTGCCTTCAGCCACGGCCTCCAGACAATTTCGGAATCTCCTGCAACTCTTCTGGACGGTTTTCTTGTTTAAGTTGGATTTTTCACCAGTCACCCTCTTTAAACAGGACAGCACTACCTCCTCAAAGCACTTGATGTAAGCCTCCGTGTTAAGTCTGAGGCCCTCACCAACGAATTCGGGAGCTCTTTTCCTATCAGAATGATCAAAGTGAGTTTTCCAAAATGCCGTAACTTGGTAATCACCATCAGACTCAGCCAACTCTTTCCAAACCCTCTGCACTATCCTCAGATTTACACCCAAATTCTTTTTCTTCGTTTTTATTTTTTCCCCTTTAAACTCATTCTTTAGCTTTTCCTCTTTTTTTTTTGTCTTTTTCGTCTTTTCTTTCAATTGTAGCCATTTGTTGCTATTTGATTTCTGCTTATTTTTTCTAGACATATCATTTTTAATTTTTGAGCACTCTAGTTATATATATTATATATTAAAATGTGCAGATTATATTTTATATCATAAAGAAACAATATATACAAAGAATTGATTAGCAATGTTAATGTGATTAATGGCGAAATCACTTCGCTAACAAAACTTAATGAGACATTAACTTACTATCAATTTTGAATAAACCATCCTTATATTTGGGTTGTTGTTTTGACTTGCCATGTACTTTCGATAATTTCAAATTTCATTTCGGGGCGCAATTTTTTCCCATACATATTTCATCTTAGTGTTTGCAAGTTTTATTATATATATATTATATATATATATATATATATATATATATATCGTGTTTTCCGACAGAATGTAGAAATTTTGAAAAACAAACAAAATCCATAAATTGAACGTCAGACGTTTCGGTTTTAATAAACCATTTTCAAGACAAAATTATTTAAAATACAAATTCAGTTCAATATGGACGAAAATGGAGTCTTTTGTAAAACAGATAACTGAAAATTTTTAAAAAAATGGTTTAAAAGTTTGATTATTTTAAAACCGGATAACGTCTAAAAACGAATTTAGGTTTGTGTTTTTCGTAGACAGTAATTAAATTTCCGACAGAATAGAAATTTTGAAAAACAAACAAAAAATCCATACATTTGAATGGTCAGACGTTTCGGTTTTTTTTTTGATCAGCTTTTAACAAAACTCTTTTAAAAATTTTCAGTTATCTGTTTTACTCTTGGATA